GTCAGAATGCCTGGTCAGAATGGTTGGTAAAGAGGGAGGTGAGGGACACCTGATACTGATTGCCTGGACAGCTTCTTTATCCCCTTTGTATGTGCAGCATACCAGATAAAGAAGGCAGCATATGCCTTCTTTCTTATTCTATAAGTGTGAGCCCTGTCGAGTCTCTGACAGGTAATGCCTTTGAACAGGATGGCGAGAAGAGGCCCAGGCTATATCATTGCAAATATACAATATAACCAAAACGTTTTCAAAGTTATTACAACGTAATAACGTAACATTAGTCACAATAACGGTGTAGATACATTGTTTGCTGAGAGCGTTGTTTCCCCAGGTGACTGAGCCACCTCAGAGGGGTGACGACCTTCGACAAACACAAGGCTCGTTAGCAAAGATCTGTATATAGCCTGTCCAAATGTTTAATAGACAGGAACAAAACAGCGCACCACTGCTGAATACCTAGCGTCAATGTTTTCAGTAAAATGTCGAATAATTTTATCTTGGGTTTAAGTGTGCCTTCAGCCCGAGGCGTGCTGAGCCGTGTTGGCTTAATGTTTGAGTGCCACTATGAGATGAAACACTTTTATTTTGTATTCTCCAGTTGTCCGCCCAGCCCAAGAGGCACTTGGAAGGGGTCAGGATAAGGATTTGGCATGGTACGGGGGGGGAGGGGAAGAAATGGTGCCCAACCACTTGGACAGTCGGGGATTGAACCCCGACCTACATGAAGCGAAACCGTCGGTCTACCAACCAGACTAAGATGCTTACGACAACGAAGAGTCTTAGAAGTGCCTAACTAGTACTTAAAAGAGCCTTAAACCTTGCCTGGATCAGCAACAATCTTTTTATTTTATCATATGACTGGTTACTGAACGTCCTCGGACATTTAGAGGAGAGCGGGTTTGTGGAGACTCTCTAAGGTTTACCAGGACGTGGATCGTCCAGCTGGGAAGGCGCCAGAGTACACACGGATCTCCCGAATATGTGTGCGAGGCCCAGAGTACATATACATCTCCCGCGTGTGTACGAATCCCAGAGTACACACGGATCTCCCGCGTGTGAGAGAGAAAATAAGACTGTCCGCTTGGATCTTCGAACACTGATTTATATATTTGTTTTCTTCACAAGGGGTAACTTCGCTTTTGTGTTAAATCTTAGAGTGTGTTTTCAGGATTGTGAGTTCGTGTGTGTATGTGAGTGTGTGTGTGTGTGTGTGTATGTAAGTGTGTGTGTGTGTGTGTGTATGTGAGTGTGTGTGTGTGTGTGTGTATGTGAGTGTGTGTGTGTGTGTAAGTTTACTATTTGTGCCTGGAGGATCGAGTTGTTAGCTCTTGGACCCCGCCTTTCTAACCGTCGGTTGTGTATTGTATTGACTCCCGACCTATTTTTCATGTAGGAGCTGATTTTCCTCCGTTTTGCTTAACCCTACATGATTTTCCTCCGTTTTACTCAACCCTACATGATTTTCCTCCGTTTTACTCAACCCTACATGATTTTCCTCCGTTTTACTCAACCCTACATGATTTTCCTCCGTTTTACTCAACCCTACATGATTTTCCTCCGTTTTACTCAACCCTACATGATTTTCCTCCGTTTTACTCAACCCTACATGATTATTTTCCCATTCTACCCATCTCAAATTAAGGCAAACATCTAACAGGTCGTAAATCCGCAGGCAGACGTTGGGAATCCTCTGGTTGACGAACGCAGAAAGCTTAGTAAACAGAGTAACACATAAACATTTCTCTCATAACAAGAGCTGAGTATCCCGTCCGGCTTTTCCTTGCCTTCCGCAGATCTTCCCCTAAACCCCCCAATATGTTCCCTGCGACATCTCATTCTCCCCTGCCGCCACCTGCTGCCTCGGAAGGCCACGACCACCAGAAGGAGAAAATTTAGGATTTCTAAGGAACTGTTGCAAGTACAGGAGACGCCTTCCTCTGGGATCCTCCCTCTGAGACGGTCTTGATGATTATCTGATGACATTGAAGGATTTGTTATATGGATTTTAAATCAAATTTCATGTTATATAGATTTTAAAATATTGATGGTTGTTTTATTTACTATATTTTTCTAATAGTGAATTATTTAGATCGATACAGTCTTATGTTATTCACATAGATCAATTATTTATTTACATTATGTACTTGGACTAGATACTGTTATCTGTTATTCACATGGTATGGTGAGTGGGGTGTTATGAAGATTCAGGTAAGCCATTATGTAAGTTACAGGCTGCCTACCCGGCCTGTATCACACACTCAGGGTGTTCTCTGTTATTCACTTAGACAAGTTACTGTACATGTATCTCCTTGACGCTGGGCAGGAGAATGCGCTCACTATTGCCTCTCCAAAGCGTCATACTGAGACGCCGGAGAAGAAACACCGGCTATTTTAGGGGTCCCAATCCTTGAGGAAGCTCCTGGTGTTTGCCTCCACGGACCTCAGGTCCTAGAGAGGGTCTCAGGGCTCAGGTCCTAGAGAGGGTCTCAGGGCTCAGGTCCTAGAGAGGGTCTCAGGGCTCAGGTCCTAGAGAGGGTCTCAGGGCTCAGGTCCTAGAGAGGGTCTCAGGGCTCAGGTTCTAGAGAGGGTCTCAGGGCTCAGGTTCTAGAGAGGGTCTCAGGGCTCAGGTTCTAGAGAGGGTCTCAGGGCTCAGGTTCTAGAGAGGGTCTCAGGGCTCAGGTTCTAGAGAGGGTCTCAGGGCTCAGGTCCTAGAGAGGGTCTCAGGGCTCAGGTCCTAGAGAGGGTCTCAAGGCTCAGGTCCTAGAGAGGGTCTCAGGGCTCAGGTCCTATAGCAACAAAGTCGTGCCAGTGGTGTCTTTCCGTGTATTCATTGGACTTGAGTGTTTCCGGGGTGTTGCAGTTACTTGACCGGCAGTGAGAGGTAGTGTAAGTGTCTGCCAGTGTTGTTGCACAAGGATTCTCAGACTCCAGTTGTCTGCAATTCCTCCACGGACGGAGTGGGATTCCGCCTGGTCGACCAGCAAGGATAATTGTATTACTGGACATTAGAAAAACGAGGCTCTCTCTGTTGAAAGCTGGACACAGTTGGGTCCACTTAATGTTCTTGACTTGTGTACTGTTCCTAAGATTATAAGAACATAAGAATAAATGTAACTGCAGAAGGGCTTTTGGCCCATACGAGGCAGTTCTTATTTATAACAACCCAATCCCACTCATATACATATCTAACCCACGTTTTAAACAATCAAATGACGCAGCACATTAGCAGCACATACGTACATCTCAAATGAATCTGATTCTACCTCGTCCCTAATATACTTGTACTGGTTGTGGATTGAAACAGACTTGTGCCTGTTGCACGAATAGGGACGGACAAACATAAATCCCCTCCATGTGGAGCACACACGAATGTGAGGCGAGCAAAGTCACTGGGGTATTGTTGATGTGTTCTGCAAAGCTGTAAATTCTTTGTGCAAGATGCAGCAGTCCAAGCTGGATTGTTTGTTGGAGTTTGATAGAGCTGGTTGGGTGTCACTAGGAGTCGTTGCTTGTCACAAAGGAAGCCAATCCAACTTATTAAGAGGGAATTGGGGTCGAACCTGGCAGGGGTCGAACCCCTATAACTTCCAGCCTCGAAAGACAGACGTTTCCGAGTTTGCAAGAGAAATTCTTGTGGCTGCTATCATCCAACTTGTCCAACCATTTGAACTGAACGGTAGACTAGTGGTCTCGTTTCATCTGGTTCAATCCCTGTCAAGGTCAGGGTACAATCCCTGACCGTCCAAACAGTTAGGCACCAATATTTTTCCCCCGTCCCATCCCAAATCCATATCCTGATCCCTTCGAAGTGCTATATAATCGTAATAGCTTGGTGATTTCTCCTGATAGTTCCCTTCCTTGTTCCCTTCCCTATCACTCAACTTTGCATAGTGATTTCTCTGGGGGTGTGCCCAGCATGCACGGGTCCGGTTTGGTCCTATTAATCTAATTTAAATTAGTTAGTCCCATTGCGATTATATCCCTGCCACTTCGAAATTGGTGGAATGGACTGGTCGAGACCCCATATATCATATATATATATATATATATATATATATATATATATATATATATATATATATATATATATATATATATATATATATATATATATATATATATATATATATATATATATATATATATATATATGAAATACTGAGATCAAAAATATATATCTGCATGTCGCGTTGTAAACTTTACAATGTATTTTCCGGAAGGTGAGTTGTACTTGCAGTGTTACCTGGATGTTTAACGCTGGATTATCGGCCTTTAGGGGCTGATGAGGCGATTTAAACTTCGAGATTTTCGCTTGTAATTTCATTTAGTGGAAGAGCACAGTGTTGCTCTCTTCCTTTGAACTACCCGCCTCGTTGAGAGCTTTAAGGAGAATGGGGTCGTTACGGGAACACAAAACTCTCTTACCTCTGGACCTCACAAGTCTCTGAACCTCACAAGTCTCTTAATCTACCCTCCTCTCTCATTATCCCAATCTTCCCTATTCTCAACCCTCCCCATTCCACCTCCCCCTCTCAATCCTCCCCAGCCTTACTCCCCATCCTCTCAACCCACTCCACCTCCCTAATTCTCTCCTCTTTCACCACTCCATACCCCCTTCCTATCTACCCATTCCCTCACTCCTTCCACCTCTCAATCCCCCCCCCCACTTCAATCAACCCTCTCCACCCCGTCTCCACTTCCTCCTTTCTCGCCCTCTCCTTCTGCTCTGATATTTATCGCCCGTAACTCACAAGGGCCGCAGTTACGAGGGTGTGGAGTTACGGGGTGGAGGGAGAGAGGGAGGAGCCCTGTAATACGAAGCCAGGAGGAGGAACAGAAAAAAAAACTGTTATAAAAACGTTCCAACAATCTTTTCCAATTTCACTGTGTTTTGTTTCGCATTCCCGTGATCTGTATTGTGTTGTCAACCACCCAAGACTCCTGATCATTCAGCACTAACAACCTTCCCTCTCTCTCTCTCTCTCCCTTCGTCCCAACAGCTGGTGGTGGAGATCAACTCCCAGGTGGCGCTGTTCCGGGACCTGTTGATCTGTGTCGGACAGAGTCGAGACGGACCCGAGCTGAGGGAGAGGATCAGGAAGGTCCGGCGTCAGTGTGTCGACACCTGCAAGCACGCCTCCCAGCTCCTCCTTCCTGGCATCAAGAAGTGAGTAGTAGTAGTAGTAGTAGTAGTAGTAGTCGTAGTAGTAGTAGTAGTAGTAGTAGTAGGCATCCTGCAGTCTCGGGAGACTGTGGAGTTACGCTCTGGTTATCGAGGCTAGGGTAGCCTCTCCAGGGCACAAAGTCTGGGTCGATATGGAGGAGAAGTTGTTACCCATGCAGCAGGTCCTCTGTTTTCTATCACAGATGCTGTGAGCCGAGTAATCAACGCACTTGGGTGTTGACGAAGTGAGTACACCCGTATTAACTCTTTCATCAACGCCATCATGGAGTTACATGCGTTGATCACTCGGCTCACAGCACTTGCGATAGTCTTACATAGCCTCCAACTCTCCTCTACTGTCATCGCTTTAGTCAGCAGCATACAGAGGTTACAGAGGTACCTGCTGTACCTCAACCGAGGTACGCTTTCCATGGTTAATTGTGTATGCCGACTGTCATGGGATAATAGGCGCAGACCCAGAAGACTGGTGAGTAGAATTGGCGATGTATATGGTGTGGTGTTTCTAGTGAGGAGGAGAGTGTGATGTGTTGGCTATGGTGATACAGTGAGATATGCAAGGTGTGTGATGGGAGGGTGTGTGGGGGGGGTGTTAGGGGGGCTGGGAAAGTGTATATGACGAAGATTGGGAGGTTGTTTGTTTTGGGGAGGTGGGGTGTGTGTGTGTGTGTGTGTGTGTGTGTGTGTGTGTGTGTGTGTGTGTGTGTGTGTGTGTGTGTGTGTGTGTGTGTGTGTGTGTGTGTGTGTGTGTATGTGTGTGTGTGTGTGTGTGTGTGTGTGTGTCTGTGTGTGTGTGTGTGTGTGTGTGTGTCTGTGTGTGTGTGTGTGTGTGTGTGTGTGTGTGTGTGTGTGTGTGTGTGTGTGTGTGTGTGTGTGTGTGTGTGTGTGTGTGTGTGTGTGTGTGTGTGTGTGTGTGCAAATCCAAGGAGAGTGTGTGTGGGAGAGACAGGAAGAGTGTGTGTGGGAGAGACAGGAAGGGTGTGTGTGGGAGAGACAGGAAGGGTGTGTGTGTGGGAGAGACAGGAAGGGTGTGTGTGGAAGAGACAGGAAGGGTGTGTGGCTTGGAGGCGATAGAGTGTGTCAGGGGTAGATGAGGAGGCAATGTGTACAAAGGGGTAGAGACCTGACAGGACATATATAAACGCCCATTAATGCCACTATGTAAAAAGCACACCTCCAACACTGTTTGTGTAGAACAGACGAATATCTGTGAATTTATGTTTGTAGGTTAGATTAGCATTTTAAAAGCACTACAATCACCTTCTGTGGTTGATTGTTCAATAAATCACTGAACTATATGTTTAACAGATCTCTAACCCTCTCAATGGAGGACAGAAGAAAATGTATATATGGTGGTTAGCATTGTAAATGTGTGGCCACGTGTGTGGTAGAAAATAATTTTAAAAAATAAGACATGTGGAAGGACCTGGGCACAGGGTCGACCCGGGCACCGCAGGGTATACTCCTAGTAAATCTAGAAACTATTAGTGCAGACGGCGCACCACGCTTCCTTACACCTCATGCTACTGTTCATCTAGTTTTACCTACTTAAGAGTTAAGAGTCTTTTATGTAGTAGTGAAGTGTGGCACGCTATGGCCGTAGACTTTATTTTATTTTTCAATATATATGGGAATATACAATGTAACAAAATTGTTTTGTAACAAAATTATATGCAAAAACTAATATCTTTCTCTATTTTCTTATTTTCAAAGCTCATTAGTTATTCATGAATGCTTGATGAGTTTCTGGGACAAATTGTCAACACGTAGAAACCACAATGAAAACAGAGAGAGAGAGAGAGTCCGAAATGTCAACAACCACTGTGTAATTATCTTCAAAGCTGGAGAGAAATATCAGCAAACAAGCGCTGTTGTATGCAGTACCGTCAGCAAATATTTTAACAGTGACACAATGTTGTCTTGTCTCTGTTCTCCAACATGCTGAATGTAAATTAAACAAAGCCTATGAGGTTGAAGTGTCTACTTTCATGTTCACATTTACGACAGTACTGAGTGACCGGTGCAGGAAATACAGCACTTTTTATACACAGTTCTCCCACTGTAGAGGGGCAAAAGTAACTGGACACTTGGGGCCAGATTCACGAAGCACTTACACAAGCACTTACGAACTTGTACATCTTTCCTCAATCTTTGACGGGTTTGGTTACATTTATTAAACAGTTTACAAGCATGAAAACTTGCCAATCAACTGTTGTTATTCTTATAAACAGTCTCCTGATGCTTCGAAGCTCATTAACTGTTTAATAATTGTAAACAAAACCGCCAAAGATTGGGAAAAGATGGACAGTTTCGTAAGT